CTTTTTGACCGATATTTTTAGTCGTCGACCAACAGATCCGATGATTTGTGCTGAAGATAAGGGTACTTTGTTTAATGCTGTTTAAATTGGGTAAATTATACCATTCATCACTCAATTATTTTCTCTCTTCATTCTGGTCACTAAACCTTGAAAATTTTCAATTTAATCACAATCAAAAATCCTAAAAGACACGTGTAACAATTATAGAATTTTTATTTTTATTAAAAAATAATTATAGAAAATCCAAAACCTCGCCTCCGCCGCCATCGCGTTCTTCTTCTTCCAAAACAGAGTTCATCACACCCACGTCCTTTGTGAACAATGGTTACTTCTTTCATATTTTGTGAATATCTAAAGCAAACAAAGTGAACCAATGTTTTCCCATTTGGGTAGACGGCGAATACACTTGTTCCGATTTTCTTGTTGCAGAGAGAGCACATACTATCACTCGAGAATTTCAGCACACCTTTTCTTTGGTTGTAGAGTTCGTCTTTCACATATGATAATTTTCAACAAACCCACGCCCTCCTACGCATTAATTTTCAAGTCAATTTCACAAATGATACTTTCATATATATATATATTCAAACAGACTTTGTCTTTGCATCTTTAAATCTTTTAAACAGGGAAAAAGGACATTTGTTGAAATTGCTTGTACTTGGAAGGAAGAAGAAGAAGAACAAGACATGGAGAAACAAGTTGAGATTTTGATTTTGTTGTTCCTTTGCTGACGAGTCTTAAGTTGAAAGTGAATGAACAAATGAGAACCAAAAGAGGGTACACATTTATTGAAGCCAACAGGGCTTGGTTGCCCAAATTTCTGTTGCTTTGGGTAATGGTGATTTCAGCCAAGAAAATTGGTTTTGAGCTTTTGTTTTTCTTAGTTACAGAGAAGGGGGTGAGTTTTGTGTTTAAAAGAAAATGGTTTAACTGCAGCTTATTCCCTGAAGTCTGTAGAAATTGAACCTTTTAGAGTTTAGTGATTAAAATAGAAAAGAATAAAATAGTTGAGTGATAAAATAGTATAATTTACCCAATTTATAACGGTAGGAATTAACGAAACTGTTAGTTAATGACGAAAAACGTTAGTTAAATGATCACATTAAATTTTTTTTCGAACTGGAAGGTCACATTGATCCAAAAAAAAAAAATAGGGGTCACATTAATTCTTTTTTTTTTTTTTTTTGAAAGTTGGAGGGTACTTGATGTCTTTTTGCCTTTGATTTGAATATTGTAAATGAAGAAAATAAGTGTAAAAAGGAAATTTGCTCTTTGATTAAGGTTCGGTTTAGCTCGATTGTTTTTTTTAGTATGATTTCGAGTTTGAATATTTATATTCTCAAACTATAAACTTTATTTTAAATTGGTCTTTAATTTTTTGAACATTTCAATTTTATTCTTAAACTATGACTATCATTTTAAATTAGTCCTTAAATTTTTGAACATTTCAATTTCATCCTTCAATTATGATCCTATTTTTAAATTGATCCCCAAACTTTTTTAAATATTTTAATTTCATCCCAAATATATAATTAGCTTCAACTATAATTTAACATAATTTTTTTTCAAACATATAATAATATAACCTTGCTTGCCGATTTTAAGTCAAACTTTTAAAATACAAATAATTTCTGAATTATTAAATCATTTCTGCTCAACCAAAGAGATGATTTCGGTAGCTCCAACTTTCTTCCTCAAATCCGTAGTTAACTTGACAGCATCAAATCCTTCTCCGATCACCACCACTTTCTCTCTCTCTCTCTCTCTCTCTCTCTCTCTCTCTCTCTCTCTCTCTCTCATTACCTTCCAATCGTTCACCCCTGTTTTTACGACATGATACGAAATCCCATATGTGTATCACTCACCCTCTTGTTTTGCAGCCACCTTGAGTGCCTCGCTCCTGCATTTTTGGCACTTCATGCTCACTTTCAACACCACTGTTTGCTGCGTATTATTAAACACGGGTGTCGGACAGCGTTCGAATAAACAATTCGATTGCATAAACCAAACATTTTTCTAAAAGAAAGTGTTCACCTTCATATTGTTGCTTGTTCTTCAAGGAAAATGTTACGGGGAGGATATCAAACTCAGCAGCTAAGAAGGAACAATGAGTTTGTATGCAGTAATTCCTCATTTATATAGTGAAATGCAATGACTTGGTCCTTAAGTTACCTTCAATTCAGAAAACAAATCTAATCTGGCCCTTGATCCATGTTTTTCATTATTTGACTGTCATGGTGCTGACGAGACGATCTACGATGCTGAATTTAATTCATCTTCCATGTTATCAATAACCGTGAACTACCATATCAACATCGGTAACTATCATGTCAGCACTGTGAACTATCATGCCGATATCATAACTGAAAAAAATGAAAAACATTGATTGAAGGGAGACATTCAACTAAAAAGTAACGTTCTCTTATTATATTAGGGATACTGAATATTTAATTTTTACAACATTCTTTTTATAATCTTTTAAACTAAATGAAATTATATTATTTATACGCGGCACTACAATCATTTTAAATTTTAATCATACTGTACAAATTATAATACAGTTATGTTTACTATTGTACTTTTATATTACATTTATACCAGTCTAAATCATATTTTATTATGAAACCCATATATTATAAATTAGATAATCATAAATTACAAATAAAAGTCAAACATTTTCCGGTAAATTATGCATGAATTTATTTAAACAGAAAAAAAAATCTTTTCAATAAAAACCCCATTTGTATATTTACGTAAGAAACTAATCGTTTCAATTTTTTTTACTAAGTCAAGATGATTATAAAATAGTATTTATTCTAAATATTATGAATCATTTGATAATGAACACTTAATCGCTCTTACAATCGCTGATGCTTTAACTCGAAACCTCTAAGAACAACAACGATTCATGCAAATGTCTCAAACTTAACACTTCAAATTTTACAATTTCAATAATAAATACTTCCATTTTCCTATTAAATATGTTTCTTGTTGATTTTTTGGGTCAAATTTTTTAACTTTGACTCATAATTATTTAAAATTTATTATTAATAAAAATATAAAAAAATAAACTTTCAATCAAATAATTTTTAAATATATATATATAAATTAATTATTTAAAATAATTATGATCAAAATTTTAAAAATGTATGTTTTAAAAATTAAATTAATAGTGAAGGAATGGGACGGAGAGTAAAAATGTTAATAGTATGCCACGGGCAGCCGAAGACTACAAAGTTGACATTAAATCAACTTTCAAGTCTTTTTATTAAATATATTTAAAAAATAACTCCTTTAAGAGAATATTATTCTTCTTTCCATATTTAAACAGATGTATTTATAGAATGTGAGTGTGTTATGTCACAAACTAAATCTCTCCACCTATACTTTCTTACTTAACTAGAAAATTGGAGATGTTAGTGAAGTGTTCTATAATATAACATAAAATTATAGAACACAATAGAAAGATCCAAAACCTTATGGAATGTCGTAGAATACTCTAGAACGCTTTAGAATATTCTAGAATATCTGAAACACTCTAGAATGTTTTAGATCATTGTGGAATGTTCTAAAACTAGGAATAAGATTCTAAAATATTGGAAGACCTGCGGAAGATTATAGAAGTTTATGAATAATTTTCTAAGCCTAAATTATACTAGATTTGTATAGAAAGTTATGGATGCAAAATATAGACTGTATGGTTAAATTAATCTTCATCGTCCATTGAGGAGGTGGAAGGCTATATAAAGGAGCCTCGGTCGTTTGCTAAAGATCCATCTATTGAAGAAAACCTTTTAAAGCATTCTCCAAAGTGATAAAAGTATATTTGTCTTATTTTTACTTTGCTTAGCTTCCACCAATTACATATTTGAAAGGTTCAGGCTCACTTAGTCATTAAAAAGAAAGTTATTCAGAAAGCAACTAAAATGGAAGCAACATATGACAATATACACATACTCATTTGACATTGCCATCTCTTCTGCATACAGCTATTATTTTCATGAATTTTGTTCCAGATCACGCTCGTTATATTTTCAAATAAGCACGAAAAAAAAATAAAGAACACCAAAATTTACTTAAAAAACTCAAAAGAAAAAAATTATGAGCAAATGAGAAGCATTTCACTAATATGAAAGAATAACACCTCTTACCCAAGTATTTATCTATAGGGATAGAAACAAGGCTTCTAAGATCCTGACGCCAGAAGAAGCCCTAAGACTAAGGCAAGTACTATGCAATTTCTTTAATAATGAATAAAATCATGATTTAATTGTCTATACAATTTTATGGAAAATGTAATGTGCCACTTGCAAAGAAATGTCAATCTTTACTATAGGAGAAAAAAGTGTACCCTAGGTTCTTGTTAGATTCTTAGTGTTTATATATATATATATATACTTCTATTTTCCTCGAAGGACAGAAATAGAAAAATATGTTGTTTCTCGATCTTGTTGAATGGGATACAATCGGTATTATCATTGAGCATTTAGGTTGTGAATAGGTTTCTAATATTAAGTTAAAACTCAAAAATATGGAATACCAGTGCTTGTTTGCCTTCTTAGTGTGATCAGATGATTTGTTAATTGAGTGTTGGAAGCCCTACATTTTTTAATGTAACGTTTAATCATTTTGTAATTGCATGAACTAAGAAGGCTGAATGACAATAGAGAAATTGTAGACTGTCATATAACTTGTTTATTGATAATGAATCAATTTTTTTCCTTCCGAAAAACTATGATATCTAAAAGAATCTTGGTGTTTATTTAGTTTGGGGTTGGTATTATATCTGAGCTGGTCATGATTAGGTGTTCTACTTCCCAACCAAAGTATCGATTGTTTATTGGTAATATTCCCATGAGCACCTTTGACAATTGTATAATTTATGGCTAAATGTTCCTCCTCAAGATCAAACTCAGCCTGTCTCTCTATCTTGTTTTCAATTTAATTTTAAAAACTCCTTACTACATTTTCTTTATTTATCGATCGAAAAGGCATTTTCTCGAGCAATTCGGGGGATACAACTTTCGCTCATTTCTCTTTTCTAGCCAAAGATTCTGCCTTATACTCGCTTCCGGCAGTGACGACAAAACCTGCCCCGACCTATAAGAAGCACAGTGTGATAACCATGGATACGAATACTAAACGGTACGAAAAACAACTTGATTCTTTAAGTGTGTGCAAAGTTTACGACAGAGCTTAGAGAATTACTTGGCAATCTTTCAAAACAACGCGGTCTTGAAGCTGTACATTGCTACAAACCACAGAGCCCTGTATTATACAGCCATCGCCGATTGTGACATGATTCATTACAACCGAATTGACAACCTGCATATGCAATGAACGAAATTTCAAGTTACGACGGGAAACAATTACCAAATCTCGAAACAGTTAAATATCATAAATGACGAAACCGCAAGAGGCAAGTTTTACAGACTCTCAGGTACTTTCTGCTTTACCTTAGTTATGGTAAGAGAAATAATCATACCTTCACATGGGAACCTATCCGGCAGTGACGGCCTATAACAGACCGTTTTACTTGGCATTTGTCACCGACTTCCGAACCTTCACCCAGCATGCTGTGCGGCCCCACCTAATCATAGATTTATAAAGCGTTGATATTATCCAACTAGTTTTTGAAAATTCTCAGGGCGTGTGTGGATGAAGTGGGCTCACAGTAGTTTTGGTTCCAAGCTTTGGTGAAGGACCTATGTTATTATTGGGATCTGTGCCGCTCAGCAGATGATCCGCCTCACCAGTAACCTGAAACATTAGTAAGAGAAACAAGTCAACTAGACGACATAAAACGTGGACTAAAAACACAGAATGGCAAACAAGAAAAAGCATAAATGTGAAATACAACTCACATCTCGATTGATGTCCATAAATGCTTGAATGGAATTCAAGCGCACGCAATAACTGCTGCTACTTGCAATATAAGCACAGCATTTATGGGTTTTCCGAGTAGGGGCAGAACCATCAGGAGTCTCAGAACTGCGGTCATGAAAGCTTGGGATAGATGCGTTAGCAAGGATTCGAGAGACAAATACTTGATTGTTCAGGGAAGTAACCTTCTCGTTCCCATTTTCTTCTCCTTGCGGAGTCCTATTTGATAAGGCCTCTGATTTCTGGTAATTATAAAAGAATCGGAACAAAATTCGATTATTCTGGTCAACAGTGTTGCTATTTGGACATTTAGCGATACTAACCAGCTGGCTCCGGACAAGATAAGGAAGTACATCCTCTTTCAAGCTTTGAAATGCATCCTTTAGCTCTAAAACTTCTTGCAGGACAGACCTGAGTGGAAATACAACGAGGAATTATAACAGAAAAAAGGGGATACCGCTGATATCTAAGCAGGTAGGGATGGGGATGTCACGTGGAGGGAACCAACCTCTTGAATGCATACATATGAGCATCCATCAGGTCCGATCGAATTTCCATCTATATAAAATACAAAACAAAAATGACGCTGACAAAAGAATATCTCACAAATTTTAAGCCAATTGATGATCTAAAGGCAAAAGAGATAATATATGCATATATACACACATATAGAGAGTAAGGGACGAGATATACATATGTATATAGAAAAAGATTTATAAAGGCGATATATTATACATGATAAGCTATTACAAACACAAATACTTCAATCTTAGCTTTTTAAATTATTCGCCAAAAAGAATATTAGTAGCTTTAAAATTGACAAGTGCCTCTAGACTTGTGTGTTGCAGCTCACAATGCCATCAGTAATCGATTTCACCATACTGGGCATCCATTGTCATTTGTTGAAGAGTGCCGAGTGGTATAAGTAAACAGATTGATGGAAAGCAATACCTGGCCAACTGCACGGAGAATGCGCTTTGGAAGTCGAGCATCTTTCTCAATTTCAGCTCCTATAAAGCACAAGATTATATGTAAGGATCCAATAGAAGTAGCATGCTGAATAGGAGAATGGAAAGCTAACCTGTTGCTATGTGTAATAAAAACTGTTTGCCAGGGTCCAGTCCGATGATGTTGTATCGTCCTAATTTCTTGGCTTTATCTTTTCCAACAGAGGATCCGGACTCTAGTGGTCCACTAACAGGAATAGAGCAAAGCGTTGCAGTCACTGCTGCATCATGTCGCCTATGGGTGGCAGCAACTGCACCAGGAGGAACATCAGATACAAGATCACCACTCACAACCTGCATGGTGAAGAAGCAACCGTAAAGCAATTACTCCATTAGGGAACTGGAACACAATTAACGAAACAAAATCTAACCAAAATGTCTTTTGTTGTGAGGTGATGTGAGATTTCACGAATTGCTCCAGCTGTTCCAATGTCCTCGGGGACTGCAGCAATCTGCAAAGTAAAAAAAGAGGAAACTAATTTGCAGTCTTCATGAGAAAGGACTATTTTCATTTTTTACATGATTAACTTATCCATTCTCTCTCTGAGTAGACGAAGAAAAAAAATGCTACTCTAGTTCATTTTCTCGGTCGTGATTGTTAAGTCTCTTTTTTTTTTTTTTGTAAAAACAACTATATCCAACATACCTATCTAACACTTGATCAAACATGGTTGTGGGATATGATTCTTCTAATATATGAAAAAAAAACTTTTGAAACTGAACTTGACTTTTATAGATACACATCCATATCCAATACTCGACCCGAATTCAAGTGATAGAGATCCTTCTCCTTTTCCCAATACACTTAACATTCGTTACAATCAAGTAATATAACATTATAAAACATGGACGAGTAATTGATTAAGCAAATACAATGGCATAGTTTCTACAATCAATCCTAAAGTTACATTGTAAAAGAGGAGAAATATATATATATATATATATATTGTAGTAGACCAAATTTATCAATTTCGTCCTTATTGTATTTTCGCCTCAATTTTACTCTCGAAGTTATTAAATTTCATCAATGTCTACCTTTGACCGTCTTGACTAACAAAACCGCTAGTTTATGCTGACATGGACGCTAGCTATTTCCACCTCAGATAAGAGTGTTGACGAGTCGAGTTGATGATGTGGCCTTTATAGAAAAAGGTAGACATGGATGAAATTAAACAACTTCGATGACAAAATTGATGTGAAAATACGACATTAGCGAAATTGATAAATTTGGTTTAGCAACTGTGACCCTTTAAGTGTGTGTATATATATATATATATAAGAACCTCGACGTGTAGACGATCAATGAAAGTCCCAGAAATCCAAGCACCAACAACAAGCGCAGCATCTTCCCCTTCAACCACCTATTTTGCCACCCCAAACAATTCAAAACGAAATCAAAAACCCTAAGAGCTATAAACAAATTTCAAGCCATCACACAAAGGAATTTCATTTTTCTTACAACAATCAGATCTTTAAGGTTGCTTTGTTCCAGTTGGTGCAAAACGTAGGTAAGAACAGGGCGGTTGGCAACCGGAAGCAGCGGTTTAGGCAATTCCTGCAAGCATTTGACAGATAAAGCACGGGAAAGAGAAGAAGATCAATGAAATTATGAATTGGGTATTTGCAATGAAATCATAATCGAAAACGAAAAAACAAAAGGTAATACCTTGGAGACAAGAGGAGTTAAATTCTTTGAACTCCCACCGGCTAACACCACTACTTGGAAATCCATTGCCAAAGAGACAGAGCTGATGAAGAAGAAACAGTAATATATAAGGGTTTTTTTCCCTGGGGTTTTGGTGAATCTGTGAATGATTTTGTTATGTGAATATGTGCAGTAATCAATATATATATATATATATAGTATTTTATTTCTTCATGTAAATTCTGGTTTTTATTTAATTTATAATTATAATTACCATCAATACATTCTTATAATTCAATTTTACAATGGGTAAAGTACACAAATGGTCCCCAACTATATGATACTATTTTATTAAGTCTTCAACTATTAAAAGTTATAAAATAATTCTATGATTATAGAGTGTTGTTTTGTTGATCATAAAATATGATCACCCAACTATTCATTATGTTCCAGACTCATCATTTTCTGTTAAAAATTAACCGTACTTTGAGTTGAACGTTAATTTACTGACTGTAATATTATAAAATTTGATCTCAGAATCTCAAACGACTATCATATTTCAGTCATCATGTTAACGACTAGCTTAGAGAACCGTCATTTTTTTAACGAAAAAGATGAGTTTGGAACATAATGAATAGTCGGGTGATAATTTTGTAACTTTTAATAGTCGGGGACTTAACAAAGCAACATTCTATAGTTGAAGGATCATTTTGTAACTTTTAATAGTTGAGGGACTTAATAAAGCAATAACCTATAGACATAGGACCATTTGTGTACTTTACCCTTTTATAATTAATATTATGTATTATATTTATTTTATAATGAACGTTTATAATTAGATTAATTTTATAAAATTAATATTAGAATATAATTATAAAATAGTGGTTTGATATTAAACATGTTTAGTAATTAGATTAATTTTTTCAAAAAATTTTAGTTTATAATGAACGTTACCTACAAAAATAATTGTTCGAATTTCGATTTTTGGATATTCTAGAAAATAACAACATTCTCTTTTATCTTAGATGGATTTAATATAATTATTTATAAATATAAAAAATTTTGAGAAAATATAATTTAAATATTTTGAACATATTTGAATTTGAATGAGTATAAAATTATTCATATCATACAAAAATTTAATCAAATTTGATTAATGAACACCTTATTTCAATACTTCAAATTCATTGCAGTTATTCACTGATTGAAATATAATTATACAAAATTTATATTATTTTCATATTCCCATAATATTTGTATTATATGTTGTTTGATTGTATTTTATTATTTATATATTATTCTAAAATGTTAAAAATAAATAAATATTAAAATGTTTAAAACAATAAATTATTAAAATTCAACATCCTAATTTAATTTTGAAAAAAAAATAATTGTGAATTGATAAGATAAAATAAAATTTGAGAACAACTATAAAACATCAAATTCTTCTTTGGCGGCTACACTGCCCAATGTTTCCAAACTAGTCCAACTTCATAGTTCAGTACGTACATTTATTAGACGACTGATAAAAAACCTAAATCGAGATCAAAGTCGATAATCGAGACCGAAGTCGATAACCGGGACGGAAAAGAGTCCATAAGCTTAAAAGTGATTGCATGAATCAACTGAATTAAACTCGGAATTTGATCGATCGTCTTTAATTAACTTAGCTAGTTGCTGGTATCTGCTACTTCTTCCACCTTGACCCTGGCTTTGCAGCAACCCTTTTTATCATGTGCTTCGGTCTCAACCTTCCTTCGGCAAGAGTCGCCATCCTTACCGAGTAGTTCCGACCTTTGCTCGAGAAATTCTGCATTCTCCTTCCAGACCTCTCCGTTAGAATAAATCTCCTTCTTCGAAATCGGAACAGATGCCTTCAACTCGTTGATCAAGAACTTGCATGCATCTAGAGCATCAACACGATGAGTAGCCGTTACTACAACGAACACACTTGTTTCTCCTACAGGATTCGTGCCTCAACGGTGGACAACCGCAATAGAACTGAGATCCCAGGATGATCTAGCAGAGTAACAGATAGGCTTGAGGTTACGAATCGCCATCGGTACATATGCTACGTATCTTAGTTCAACCACTGTTTTCCCTTCAAAAGTGTCTGGCATTGTGCCGGAGAACGTGGCTATGGCACCAGCTTATGGGGCACTGACATAGTCTATATACTAGGCAAGGTCAATCTTCTTATTCTCATCTAAGATTTCAACAAGAGCTCTCTCCTCGGAATTCATTGCTATTTACAGAGGATTTGTGGTTATCTCGAGACTTAACGGGTCATTTTTCGGCACAAGAGTTAATGGAGCCCCGACAGTGGTTACGGTCTAGACACCAAGACAACATAATGTCAAACACAACCAATAGACCAAACTAATCTAAAAAAACAAATCTAAACTAATTCAAAAGGAACAAGATCATGAGTGAACTAACAACATAAACAACTTGATACTACCAGGTTCAGATTAATATGCGACGACAGAGTATCGTGTCAGACACCTACATCGGACCAGGGGGTTGAGGCCTTGAGAGTCTCATCCTCAACATAAATGAAAGATATTATGGAGAAAAGGCATTCTTAGACATATATTCATATCAGATGCTTATCTTTTACACTTTTGTTTAGCATGAACAAAATATAATTAATATAATTGTATTTTCAAAATGTATAATCCATATAAATAAAGTATATCAGAAATTATTTCATGCTTTAAGGTGATTGCTTCATTAACCGGGAAACTCATTCGGATTAAACGACGGTTTCAAGAAAACGTGTTGATTGCATGACAATTTTATCATGTCGCTGCCAGGAATCGTGCTCCCATGCGTAGCCGGCAAGGTTCCCTACCTTCGGACTGCATCGCTGCTTGCTAGCATGCAAGCGGTAGGGGGAACTCGATATGCACGCATGGCGCGTCAATACGTTTTCTTAAAATCGCAATGTAGTCCTACAAGTTCTCGATTACCGTAGCAATCGTCTTAGATCAAATAAATTTTGGCATTCCTTATTTAAATAATTTTTGGATAAACTACGCATCTAGTATTTAATTTATTAATTTTAATTCATTTTAATATATAAACTTTTAATTTTTTTCAAAATTATGTCTGACGTTTAATTTTATTTCATTTTAATAACCAACGTTAAAAATTTAACGTGTTTAGTAACTAAACTATCAGTTTTAGTCCATTTTAGTACAACAACAACAATAACAACAAAATTCTATTCCCATATGCAATGGGGTAAGAGGGAGGTAGGGTAGTAGGTTGCCTCCAACGTCAGGTTAAGAACAACTTCTGTAGAAGACCTCCGACAGTCAGAAAATTTAAAATAAAGATAAAATACAATGTATGTATATATAAATAAATAAATACATAGTTGAACAGTCTTCATATGTCGTCTTTATATGCACGTCTGTAATGTGGAGTAATCCCTGCAAATAAATTCCTGCGAATAAATCTCTGCATAAAAATTTTTGCATATAGACAAAAACGTAAGATCCGACTAAATTTAAAAATAAGAAACATGAAGAGAAGGATTTTAGTCCATTTTAATACCTAAACTTTTAATTTTTTCAAAATTTATGATTTAATTTTAGAAAAAAATACTAAAATAAAATAAAAATTAAATTTTATGATTTTAAAAAAATTAAAAATTTAAATATTAAAACGAACCAAAACTAATAATTTAAATACTACACATTTGATTTACCCTAACTTTTTTCACCACAACATTCAAACAATATTGCCAACAGAATCATTAGTTTTACTGCCGCAAGGATTCCTCAATCGGAAACGAAAATCACCGTCGAAGCAGCGATTTCCGATCACAAACAAAGGCTTAGATGAGGGAAATTAAGGAAGCAGTAAAATTCTTCAAAATTCCTACAAAAATCGCCATAGTAATTAAACACAAGTAATTCATTTCCAAAACAATAACTAAACAAGATCTCTAAAAAAAGAAGGGGGAAAAGATCAAACAGAGTAGCCAAAGAAACATATCAAACACTGGAAAATTCAGCTCCAGCAAAATTCAGGAAGGAAGAAGAGAGAAAAATCAAGAACTGAAAAAATTGAAAACAAATACCAAAAGGAAAGCATAGTTCAGATCACCTCGAGAAGGCGTGAGAAGATTAGCTGTTGCTCATGAGCGAAAATAAACGATAAAGAGAGATGAACAAAAACCCGGGGGAAGAAGACAATGAGCAAAGAACAGAAGATATTCGAGATAATTTAAGGGTAAATTACCTTTTTCATCATTTAACTTTGTATCTATTTTTACTTTGGTCACTAAAATTTAACAAGTTTTATTTTAATTACAGATTTTCAAATTACTCCTATTTTAATCGCTTGTTGTTAGATAATCGACCAGATTATGATATGGTATTTTATAATAAAATGAAATCATTTTGAATCCCTATTAAAATTAAAATTTAAAACAAAACAACAACATTTTAGATTTATATAAGAAGTTATTTTTTAATTTTTTTCTTCTTTTCTTTTTCCGCTCTTTTTTTACCCTTTCCTTCCTTTAGTCTATACCAAATTTATATTTCGATCACTGTTCTAACTACCATCAGCCGTCATTAAAAGTCGATGAATCTTAAAATTTTCTACTAGGTTCAACTCACACTTCTAAATACGAATTCAATGTTCGTTTAACCGATAAATAGCCTAAAGTTCACAATTTATCGTGTCAACTTCAATTCATTGAATCACCATCGTTTGACATCAATTTCAACCAATAATAACAATTTACTCATTTTTTTCATATAGAAATATTTCAATTTAATTTTTCATAAATACTCTACAAAAAATTCATAATTTCTCTTGAGCTTTTGATTTCCCTTTTATCAATCTCAACATTTAACTACCTAATCACCAAGATTTTGAAATATAATATTTTCCTCATCATCATCTATCTTTTCACCGTTGAGATTCTCCACCGGATCATGGAAGATATAACCTAAAATGGGGTTATAAGGTTTAGATAAATTTAAATTCAAATGTTAATACTCAAATAATTTACAAATAATAGTTGAATTTTAAATATTCTATTTTATTATTCGGATAAAATTTTATTTGAAATTAGCACAGCAATATTTGCACTAGGGATTCAAAGGAAACAAATTGTGAGTACTAATAAATGACAATCCCATATGCTACCAACAAAATTTCTTCACGGCCACAACTTAAAAGTCTAATGAAAAAAACGAGATCAACCACTTAATTAACAACAAACACAAAACACTTCAATTCATTCTTCTAATTAGCTCATTGATATAGTTCTCATTGTTTCCGGCATCTCCACCCTCAACGTAGTGGTTTCTCTTCTTCTTCAGACCACCCAATGGCGCTTTCAGCTGGAAGGGCCAAAGGAAGTTGTTGGTTTCCTTAAAATGAGGTCCCACCGTCATGATTTCATGGATGAGACTTTAGACGCAGATGATCCCGAATTTGCCGAGAGCCTGCAATCGGTTACGAAAAGAAACAAGGATGCTCCGGAAACATTTGGCACGAAAAACGAAAACCTTGTAAATGGAAACAAATACGGCCCTGCTCCACGATTGCATTGTCGGTCAAAGCAATTCTCTGGTTCTTCAACTTACCGTAGCCTCTTTTGTAAATCAATTCCCTCACACTCTTGAGATTAGGGTATCTAGAAGAATATATCGGTGAGAAATAAGACATGGCACAAGGAAAAGCAAATGATACCCGTAAGTCACGTAAGGTTCGACAAGGTGAAGCATGTTCATTGTTGCCTTGTTTACTTTAAGGAAAACACCATTGAAGATCTGCATTTTGTAAAGAGCAAACATGACAATTTTAGGTTATAAGCTATGCAAATCAACATTAAGTTCACAATCAGTAAGAAGCTACCACCACCTGTATTACTCAAGCTCAGGTGCGTTTTGAACACCGATAAGTCCATTGTTTCCCAATATTTTCATGTTAGTCAATGGGCAATCATGCCTCTTCATGCACACAACATACACACGGGAAAGTGGGATATTGAATCTCATAAGTCATAACCAATATTACTCTTAGTTTACGAAAAAGATTTGGCAAACTACCCGTCTCAATTGCAAGAGCAGCAAGATCTTTATTGTCCTCGGATGCATGGCATTGATGCTGAAAACAAGCATTCACAACATGTTACTATTTAGAATTTACATTCAACAAAAAATTAAATGTCACATTCAACACATACCCACGAATTCGAACGATGAACAAAAGCTTAGCTTCTGGATCAACGTAGAATCCTCCTTTCAGCTTAGCCTCCCGCTTCAATTGAATCAACTCTTCCTCCTGAGAGTTGCAAGCAACACAATATGATTCAGACGCTTTCAAGATTCGATTAAAAACAAATTTACATGAATGCAAACAGAAACAGCATATTCACCTTAGCCTCGTACTCCTTTGCATATTGCTTAGCTCTCTTGATCAGCTTGCCGTTCTCGACTTTCTTCTTCTTCGAGGCTTCGAGCTCCTGCTCCTTGGCGAGCTCCCATTCTTCATTCCTCTTCTGCTTCTTCAAGAGTGATTCGGGAACCACTGCCTTAGCTTCCTCACCCATCTCTGGTCAAAATTATATCAAACCAAAACCAATCAAGAAACAAGTTTTAAACATTTAAGCGATGTACCCGACTCGTCTATTCGATTAAAATATTTCAATCCAACGCATATCCAAACATGTATAATAGATATGGTCCTACAACATAATGTAAAATTCGAATATAACCCCAGAAATTACATGCTCGAATTCGACACTCATCCTACATTTTGATCCGACACATAATTCAACATGAATAATATACATTATCATCCAATATACTAAAAAAACAATAAACTTCCAGCTGATCGATACAAATATACGGCACTTAAACGAATATAATCTTAGAAGAAGAGCATTAACACAAAACAGAGGTACAGTGAAACGTGTTATACCCGTAAATCTCTCAACCTAGTATTAGGCAGCCTACTACCCTACCTTCTCCTTACCCCATTACAATAGGATAAGCTAATTGCTGGGAATTGAATTTTAGGGCTTGAGCAAAGAATCAAACAAATTTATGAATTCCCTGCAGGTTTTAGGGATGGACTTGGGCTAATGAAACGAAATGGGATAAATCCAATCCAGTATCAAATTTCACGGCCCAATTTTATTGTTTAAATAAATCTTTTTGGTATAACCATATTTAGGGATGGTTAAAGTATCTGAATCGAATGATTTTGATCTAACTCTCACTTATGGGTTTATTTTCTTTAATCGAATCAAATACGAGTTTTGTGAAGAAAAGAGTTCCCAATTTTATTGTTTAAATAAATCTTTTCGGTATAATTAATATTTAGGGATGATCAAAGTATCTGAATCGAATGATTTTGATCTAACTCTGACTTCTGGGTTTGTTTTCTTTAATCGAATCAAGTACGAGTTTTGTGAAGAAAAGAGTTGGAGTTAGAGTAGAAGAAGGTAAAAACCCATAACCTATTCTAACTCTAATAATAACTATTACACCTCTTATATATATTTAAAAATAATTACTATAATATTTTTTTATAGTTATCTCTTTATCTTGCGTGGAACATTATCAAATATCGAGGTGTGTTAAGGTTGAAAGTCTTCAATTTTTGGATCGGATTGAGAGTCTTGTGTTTATCCCTTATTACAAAATAAGCATCGATGATCGATTAATTTAAATTAAATATTATAAAATTTCATTATAAATAGAGATCTTTCTGATCTAATTTATTTTATTCATAAAATAATAATTTAAATTCATATCCGAAATATTTAGTTATATCTTCCATAAATTTATAAATCATTTGAATCTATGAAACACAAATAAAATATTTATAAATAATCACATATATAGTGTGAATTGTCATCTTTATATCATATTAAAACAAAAATATAAATAAAAAATAAAGGGTCAACTACTCATTTAGTATCTTATCTATTAATTTTGGTTTGTTTTAGTACTTAGACTTTCAAATTTTAAACTTACGTTAAATTTTGAATAAATATTAAAATGAAATAAAAAATAATTTTTAGATATGATTTTGAAAAAAATTAAAATTTAAGTATTATACTATATCAAAACTAATAGTTTAGATATTAAATGTATAATTTACTTTAAAATATCTATAAATAATCACATATATAATCGGAATTGTCATCTTTATATAATTTTTTTATTAACATTGCGGTAAGTAAGGTATAACATATGTTCATATATAATTCTATACCATCTAACATTGAATATTGTATCTCTATATTATTGATGTTTCAACTCGAAACTTCAAGAAAAAATAATAATTTTATTATTATTGAAATCGATTTATTATATTTATATAATATTAAATAGGTCATTTACCCTTAAAAAAGGCAATCCAAAACATCATTTTTCATTCGGATTCTCGGCGTTTTTTCCGAAAAATCACCCTTACCCTATAATATTCCCAATCAGCCACCTTTCAGACTATATTTCTCGATCTAACACTGTTGAAAACATTTTGATGTTTCGATATAACAAACTAAGTATAAATGAATTTTAAGATTTTACAAATGATTTTCTAAGAATATTCGATATAATTATTCGAATATCAAATTATTACTCCAAGACTTTCAAAGATCAATTTCAATCCTTACTACTGTGTAAAATTGTGTTTTATACTTAAAATATTTTTGAAACAATTTTCACAAAGTATTTCGAACCAAAACCAAGCCAAAAATTCAATTTTCAAAGAGATGTACCGATGCACTAGTCCATGCATCGATACACTCTCAATTAAATTGAATTTCGAATGCATTAAGTGTATCGATGCACTCTCTATGCATCGATGCACTCTCTATGCATCGATGCACTCTTGAACAAATAAGAAACATCGAATGCATTCAATGCACCGATGCACAAGCCATGCATCGATGCACCCCGGCTATTTTAAAATATCGAATGTGCTCTATGCATCGATGCACTCTTAGTGTATCGATGCACTAAGTCTTCCAACGGTCGAAATATTTAAATTTTACACATAGTGTATCGATGCACTAGCCCTATGCATCGATGCATCACACACTCCTACCTGTTTTATTAATTGTTTTCACACAATAACGACTCTATTGACTCCATTAATGATCCCCCAACGTTTAGAAGTGATCCAAGGAGTATTTAAACAAGCTTAGAAGCCATTGATAAAAAAAATAAGAATCAAGAATTAAGAGAGAATCAAAGAGAAAGCATCAAACTTCAAGTTTGAGCACTTCAAGCCTATTTTTCATTCAATATTCATTTTTCTTTCAAGAACACTACTTGTACTCAATTGTATTCATTCTTGAGTGTTCTTTCTTTGTTCTAGAATTGTGCAAACACATTTGTCTTGTGAGGTTTTTCATTAAGTTTGTAAATTTGTAATATTCTCTTTGAGAAAAGAGTATTCTCAAGAATTGGGGTATATTCTTGAGGGAGTTGTAAGGTTATCTCTTTGGCCTAAAAAAAAAGAACAAATTAGTGAATTTGTTGGAAAATCCTTAGTGTGGATAGCTAAGGCAGTGGACGTAAACTTTAGTTGAGAAAGTCGAACAACTCTAAATCGTTGTGCAACTACTTTCAATTTTCTGCAAAAGCTTCCACCGAAATTTTAATTGCCAATTCACCCCTCTTGGCCGAATCCATCAATCGATTAACTCAACAATTGGTATCAGAGCCTCACTCATTTGAAAGTTTAATCGTATCTTGAGTCGATTCAGGAAGAGTTACATCGATATTTAAGTCATCAAATAGCCAGGGCTTCAAACTCCGACTTCGGTCTCGATTCATTGCCCGTCAACAAGCCTCTTTTCTTTAATTAAGCTAATTATGCTTATTGGAAGAATAGGATGATGTATTTCATTCAAGCAAGTGACATGAGAACATGAAATATTATAGAATACGGATACATCAAACCCTCCACTCACCCAAGATTGTGGAGTGAAGAAGAGACAAGAATGTTCAAACTCAACTCCAAAGCTATCCATATTATCTTTTGTGTTCTTGGATCGGATGAATACGGGAGAGTTTCATCTTGCACAACCGCCAAGGAGATATGGGACAAATTACAAGTCACTCATGAAGACACAAACGAGATAAAAGAATCTAAAATTAGTCTTCTAACTCATAACTATGAAATTTTCAGGATGAAACCGGATGAAGATGTAAAAGCTATGACGGATAGATTCTCCACGATTGTCAATAGTTTCAAATCATATGGAGAAATCATTCCAAATGACAAGCTTGTAAGGAAGTTAGTTTACTATCTTCCAAAAGGTTGGCAATCAAAGAAGACGACGATCATCGAGGCTAAGAACTTAAAATCCTTGACCCTCGATGAACTTATTGGCTCTCTCCTTACTCATGAAATGATGCTTAAAGAAGAGGGAGACCTCGAGAAAAGAGACGAGACAAAGAAGGAGACGGAGAAGAAGAAGAACGTCGGAGTTGCTCTCAAATCAACAAAAGATGAGAGTGATTCGGATAAATATGGTGATGACGAGGAAATGGTATTGTTTGCCAAACGGTTCAGAAAAAAGATGAGGCCTAATCGAGGAAGAAAATTCAAACGAAATGAAGGCTTCAAAAATGAACCAAAAGAAAAGGACCCGATCATTTGCTATGAATGCAAAAAACCAGGGCATGTCAAATATGATTGCCCACAATAAAAGAGAAAATGTTAATCAAAGAATAAGCACAAGGCTCACGTGGCTACATGGAGCGATGAAGAAGGTTTCGATGAAGAGAAACAAGAAGTAACAAACTTGTGCTTGATGGCATTCAGGGGAGATTCTAAAGTAACCTCTAACTCATTTGATTTAGATGATTTATCTTATGATGAGTTATTAGATGACTATACTGGGTTGGCTTCGTTTTATGAGAAATTATTTTTAAAATATAAAAAAGATATTTCAAAATTGAAAAATGAAAATAATCTCATATCCAAGACCAACAATGATCTTGAAAGTAAAATCAAAGATTTGTAAATCAAACTAGAAGAGATTGAAAAGAAAATTTTGGATTTGCAAAATTTACTTTCAAAGGTCAATGATGATCATCAAAAGAAAATTGATGATCTTAAAGCTTCTTTTGATAAAGTTGGAACAAAACATTTTGAAAATGGAGAAAATTCAAAATCCAACTTTGTTAGAAAAGGTTTAAAAAACTACAATCATATAGGCCCCCGAAGAACCTCTAATGGAAAAATTGTTAGAAGTATATGGGTTCCTAAAGAACTCATTACTACTAAAGATAAGGATATCCTACACAAATGGATACCTAAAGGTACTAGGATTTTGGAAACTAATGAATATGGACCTAAAAGAATTTGGGTACCAAAAATAAAAAATTAATCTATGTTTGTAGGAAAAGGAGCATTGCTACAAGGCACGGGAAACAAATTCAAATTTATGGTACCTTGATAGTGGATGCTCAAGACACATGACCGGAGACAAAAGCCGGTTCATAGAGCTTAACGCCAAAAATGGAGGACAAGTGACTTTTGGTGATAATTCAAAAGGTCACATTGAAGGTATAGGTACAATAGGTAATACCTCTTCCATACAAATTAAAAAAGTTTTATATGTGAATTGATTAAAGCATAATCTCTTAAGTATTAGTCAATTATGCGATAAGGGATTCAATATCATGTTTGAAACTAATGGTTGTAAAGTTATTGACATTGCATCTAATCAGATTATGT